TGTTGTGCTGCTGGGACCCTGTGGTGCTGAGGTTACAGGGCTCACCCCAACAATATTCAGGGGGCTTCAGGACCATACCCCAGAGATGCTAGGGGGACCATGTGGTGTCAGAAATCAGACACTGGTCAGGCAAATGCCATGCATCCTAACCACTGTACTATCTCCTGGCCCGTCTGCTCCATTTTCAAATACAGATCAATACTTCACTTTTCACACCATTTAAAAAAAAAAAACTGAACCTGAAGATTACCCACTGTATCTAGTTTTCCCCCTAAATAACCACTGCTTTCTTTCACGTCTTATAGTCTTCCTCAGCAATTCTCCCTATAATAGTTTTATTACTTAAGCGATTTTAGCAAGGCGGAGCTGACAGATTATTCTAACACACAACTATGGATTCATACACGTTCTGGAAATAAGCTCCATTTCTATCATCTATCAGCATAAGGTTTTATTTGGAGAGCATCAATATTTGTTTCTTTTAACTTATTATACTTTATCTTATTTCAAGAAAGGATTCGAGAGAATGCAGAGCACGTATTCCGAACTTAATTTTATTCTTAAATTTTAATATTTAAAATTCTTAATTTTATTCTTCAGTAAAATACAGAATGCTTAGCACAGTATTTTCATCAAAACCTTGTTTCCTATGCTCTTAACCTTGTCTGCCAAAATGTTGATATATGAAATTTGCAATTTTGCCAAAAATAGGAGAGGCAAATACTTAGTTCTCTAGCTAAAAGCAACTCATATTTTACTGAGATGTGTCTTTATTTCACTAAGACTCAAATAAAACACATAATTATGAAATTGAGACCAGAAGAAAGGAAGTGCTTTTTGGCCCATACTGACCGTGCTCAGTGATCATTCATGAAGGTGCTCAGGGGACCATGTGCTATGCCAGGAAGTGAACCCAAGTTGGGCGCGTGCAGGCAAGTGACTTAACCCCTAGACCATTTCTCCATTCCTATACTGTTCTCAAAAACTAAGAATATTTTCTAAAAACTTGCTACTTAATCATTGAGCACAAAATAAACTACTAAAACCAATTCTAGAGTTGTTTCAAGTTTAAGAGGATAAACTGTCCCCAACAATCACTGTCTGCACTCTTGGGCTATATCATCTTATTACTTTCTTATTAAGGACATATGCCTTTATAATAATTGTAGAGAAATGAGGAAATATATCATAATCCCATCTGGAAAGAAGCAAATTTTCCCCAAGCAGAGCTATACATTTAATTATTACAGCTAAGAAATAAAATAATTTAGAACCAGAAACATTGTATAAGAGGAATTCCGGCACCATATATGGTCCCTTGAGAAATGCCAGGGTTCACTCCTGTGCAGAGGACCAGGAATAGTCCCTGAGAACTCCTGGGAGTGGCCCTCAAAATAAAACAAAACAAAAAGAATTAAGTTACATTAAATGATTTTCAGTTTTGGGGAAAAGGACGCTAAATCGTATCTATAAGTAAAAATGCACATAAAAGCAAAAAGGGTTTACAAAAGGATAAGGGGGGCTTTTCTTACCAGTAACAGGGTAAGAGAGGTTAAGACAATTTTATTGTCGTTGTCCCTCAGGGTCACCAATGGACACCAAAATCAACTGATGCTCCAGTTCCTTATATAAATTGGTTCTAAAAAATGGCAAAATAGTGGTATTTAACTAGGGCACAGTCTGCGCATATGAGTTTAAAAACTCTTTAGATTACTTAGAATACCTAATACAATGTAAATACCACAGAAATAGCTACACCCTATAATCTGTGAAACCAAGCCAAGAAGTCTGTTATGTTCCATACAGAAGCACACACATCACCTTCATAGTTAAATGCGTGAATGAGGACTCCTTTGGCAAATGAGTAATTCAAACAGCAGTTACTGATAGAATTCATTTGTTTGTTTTGGGGCCACACCTGCTGGGGCTAAGGGATGACTCTTGGCTCTTCTCAGGGATCATTCCTGGCAGGCTCGGGGGACCATATGGGGGGCCAGGGATCGAGCCCAGGTCCATCTCAAGCAAGCCAAATGCCTTACACCTTGTACTATCTCTCCAGCCCCAGCAGTTACTGATACAAGAACTGGTAGATCAACAGTGCTGATCTGAAACACATCCATGTACACGGGGAGAGGGAGAAATGTCTATATTATAGATTGTATTTCAAAACTGAAGAAAAATTAAATAATCAGTCAATGAATGATTTGGGGACAAGTGCCTAACTAATTAGGCAGAATGAAAATTAAGGCCCTAAATCTCATGTAACAAAATAAAATGAGAGTTTTAAAGGTTAAGAAAACTCAAAACACTGGGACTGGAGCGATAGCATAGTGGCTAGGGTGTTTGCCTTGCACGAAGCCAACCCGGGTTGGATTCCTAGCATCCCATATGATCACGCAGCACTGCCAGGAGTAATTAGTGAGTGGAGAGCCAGGAATAACCCCTATGCATCGCTGGGTGTGAATCGAAAAGGAAAAAAAAAAAAAAAGAAAGAAAATTCAAAATACTAAAAGAAAACATACCATATAAATGGGGGACTAAAGAGATAAAAATTTTATCTTTTAACTTTTTTAATGCCAGAAAATATCTATAAAAAAAAAAAAGGTCACAGATATACTTCTCTGTCGAATATATGTACAAAGTTTAAAATCAGAAAACAGACTTGGAAAGAAATAGGTTTAAATGCCTATCAACGCAGGAATAAACTGCGTTGTAGCACAGACATGAGCTTGTAATTAATTTACAAGAATGTAAGTGTAAGCCATAGTGGAAGCAATAGTTTTAGGAATGATACAAAGTATAGAAAAAGGCCTGAGAGTAAGAAGAATGGGCCTAGGAGACTGTTACCACTACTATGAAATGGATACAACCTTCCCAGAGGGTGATATGTTGCAAAATTTGTAATGCCTGTCCTCCTTAAGAAATGTGTATTTTTACAAAGAGGCTATTTCTCAAAGACATCTGCCTAAAAATGTCAGTGTTGTTTGTGATCTTAAAGCATTGAAAACAATTTAAATGCCCATCAATAAAACAATGAACACATGTGAGTACTTCAAATGAAAATGTCATGCACCAGATAAAATGATGTAGCAATTACACATTGACATGACAAAAATTTCTACCATTCCTCGACATGAAAATACCACATCAACACGGGTCCTTGGTTCTTCAATCCTATTTCCAGCACCTATAACAGTGCCTTGTAAAGAAAAGCTTCCCAGAAAGTATTAAATAGATTAAATTTTGCTTATGGAATGGGGGATGGAGGGATGGGTACTCTGGTGAAGGGAATGTCACACTGGTGGGGGACAGGCGTTGGAACAATAAATACCTGAAATAACCATATTACAAACAACTGTATCATAAATCATGGTGTTTAAATAAAGTTTCAGACACTGAAATGGATTAAGTTTTAAAGCAGGTTACAAAACAACAATCAGAATAGTCTTTCTGATCAATAATCATAATATTCATTATGTGCACGCACACTCCAACACTCTTTCAAATACACACACACACATACACGCACACACAACCAAAAGTATCCCTATAATTTGACAAGGTATAGAGAGTTTTGGTGTATATTTAACCTTATTCCTCTGCATTCTTTAAATTCTTTATACAGTATATATTTTGTCACTGTTATGATTGAGGGAAAGCAACACGACATTTTAAAAACTCATACACAGAAGATGAAGTCTAGGGTCAGGTTCAGCGACTAAACTCACAAACTGCAAAACCTTAGAGATGAACAACAGTCTACTAGCAGAGCTTCTTTTACCTTCCAAATACTAGGGTATGTTTCGTACAATGGAACATCCTTCTCCTGCACCAGGAAATGACACACTGTACTAATAAAATGCAGCATTTGCAGAGGAAAAAGCCCTCTGCTCTACCAACCTCTTTCCCCTCCTCCTCTACCTACCCAGTTCTAGGTGGTGGTAAAGATGTGCCTGCCTCCCCCCCCCCCCCCCCAAGTAAAAGCTAGTAGCTCATGTGTGAGGCCCACACCTGATTTCTAGGGCCAGGGAAAAAACAAACAAACAAAGCAAAGCCCTAAGAATCCTCATCAGTAACAAGCTCTACTCAGTATTTTCACTTACTTGCAAAGGCCATTTCATTATAAGGACACTGACACTATTCAAACCAGCCACATACTCGTTCAATTCACCCCTGCAACTTATTTTATTCACGGCGTTGCCACTGTGTGCAAGGTTATTCAGAAGCCATCAGCAGTGCCTGAAATAATCTTGCTGGAATTGTATTCTCTTTCCCTTCTAGAACGTAAGCCCTATGAGGGCCAGGAATCCTGTCCTGCTCCGTGCTGTGTCCCCAAGTGAATGGCATCTGGTAGGCCTCACGGAGCATTTGCTAAATAAATGATGAAAAGATGGGGGGAGGGGGCCGCGACACATTTACACCAGACAACCCACAGGAATTGGGGAGTAGCGGCGGGGATGGGGGGCAGAATCACACCGCAGCGTGGGAGCTGCCAGGACGCAGCAAGGCTCCGAGGCCAGCTGGGAGGTGTGACAGGCATTTTTCAAGGTGCTTCACGCTTAACTCTAAGGACACGGAGCTCTCCCCAGAAGGCGACCCCAGAGAGGTCCCCGGGTGGCTCCTGCCGCGCCCGGAGGAGGGAAGACGATCATCCCCATCCCAGAAACGCGGCCCGGGTCGGGAGCGAGAGGAAAACAAGACGCCGAACATCCCGGCCCAGATGCGCACGAAGCCCCGAGCCAGTCCGGCGAAGAAGCGACCCTGCAGCCGGCCCGGGGCTCCGCAGCCAGCCCCCCCCCCCGCCAGCCTCCCCTCCCGAGGACCACCCCGCACCGCCGCACCAGCTGGTCCAGGGGCAGGAGGACGAGGGGCGCATCCCGAGAGCGCCTCCTTCCTCCCGCGCGCGCGCCCCGGCCCCGCCACAGCGCCATCCCGGACCCCTCCCTGCCGACGGCGAGGCCCGGACCCCGCCGCGGGCGCCCCGGGGGCCCCTCACTCACGTGTAGACGATGGCCATGAAGTGCATCAGCCACAGCACCAAGAAGAGGATGAGCCCGAAGACGGCCATTCCCTCCAGGGCCAGGTCCAGCAGCGCCATCCCCCGGCCCGGCCCGGCCCGCTCCGGCCACCGCCGCCGAGAGCGCTCCCGCCGGAGGACCACGGGGTGGGCGCCCGGCGCGGGGGCGCAGCAGGGGAGAGGCCGGGGGGAGAGGAAGGGGCGGAGGAGGGTGGGGACGGAAGGGGCGGGCAGGGCCTGCGCGCCCCCGCCGCGCGCCCCCGCCCGCGCGCACCAGCCCCGGGCGCGTTCGCGGCGGCGGCCGGGCTCGGTGGTCAGGGGCGGCCGCCGGGGCCTCCCGCGCGCCGGCTCGTCTCGTCTCGCCGCACCCTCGCGCCGCCGGCCGACCCCGCACGCACGCCCGCACGCCCGCGCGCCCGCGCGCCCCGCGCCCTGCTCGGCCGCCGCGGCTCCGCGCACTAAGCGAAAGCGGCGGCGGGAGCCCGGACGCCCCGGCGCGCCCCGCCCCGCCCCCGCCCCCGCCCTCCGGCGCCCGCCCCCACCCCAGCAGGGCGGCGCGCGCCCCTCCGCCCCGCCCGCGCGCCCCCACCCCAGCAGGGCGGCGCGCGCCCCTCCGCCCCGCCCGCGCGCCCGTGCGTCACCGGGGCCGGCGCGCCTCGGGCCACCGCTCGGGCCGGGCGCCGGCCGGGCTCTCCCCGCGCTCCCCGCCCTGCGCCGCCGGCCTTCCCGCTCCGGGCCGGGGCTCCCCGCGCCGGAGGGACCCCGGGGCCGGCGCACCGGCTGCTTCTCCCTCGGGTGGCCCGGGCGTCCCCGCGCGTCCCGTGATCGCTTTGTGACCGGGCCGCGTCCGCAGCGCCTCCTCGGCCCGGCCTCTGCTCGGGCGACTCGGGGCCTCCTCCGGGCCACGTTCCCGCTCCGGGGTGCCCACTTGCCTTCCTGCCCGTTCGAGCCCGCTCCCAGCCGTCCCGAGAGGCAATGCCACTTGGGCACCGAGCGCTCAGCACCTTAGGGCCCGCATGCCATAGGTGCGAAGTTAGACTCGGAAGGAGAAGAGTCGGCGCAGATGAAAGTCACACGGGAGTCGTGGCGATTGCTGGGCGGTGGAGTGTGACCCGAGGGGAATCGCTCAGGAATCGCTCCCGGCGGTGTTTGGGGGGCCCTGCGTGCGGTGGATCTTACCCGGGTTGGCCTCGGGCAGAGCGAGCATTTTACCCACCACGCAATCTCCCCGGCCCCTAGTGGCTGGTGAGATGTGGCGAGCACGCGCTGAGACGTACGTTCATCCACCAAATGCCTAAGAGCAACCCAGTACATTTTAAATTGACGTTATGTTAGGGCAGTATTTCAGATGCATTTGGGTTAAGTCAATTACTACATTGATTTGACTTATTTGGGTGGTTTTTTACCTTTTAAACGGGGTTTGGTGCTAGAAATTTTTTATATCACACTTGAGTAGCTCTGCTGAAAAGGGGTGCGTGATACTGTGGCTATTAAGGTAACTTGCTATTTATCTTCATTTAAAATCGTCCTAGGAGATGTTTTTATCCAGTACTAAATGGGTCTGTTTGTTTCTTTAGCCTAGATGAGGTTAGATTGGTTCTCAATTGTTTTATGCTTCGGCGCTGTTTATTATTTCAAGTGATTTCTTTTTAAGAAATCCTTGACCTTCCTGGAGAGATGTAAGAGCTGAATTCCATTTTGAAAAGAAGTTTATCTTAGCATTGCTTACTTGGTGTACTTAATACGGAGTGAGTGAGCTACCTCAATCTACAATTAAGTGATGCGCTACTCTCAGAAAAGTGCTTATATTATGACCCAGTCTTGGAAAGTCAGAGAGAGATACTTAGAAACCAAATTCCCATTTTTGAGAGTTAATGGCTGATAAATTAGTTGGGTAGTATACTAAAATTGAAATAACGTTGCAAATGAAAAACTAAAAATGTCACTAATGTAGCTAAGCATTTCTAAAACACACTTTTGGAAAACTAACACATTTTAACTTTTCTGAAGTGGAAATGCATTGCAGTGAAGGGAATTGATTGCATTGGATTGAAGGATGTTTTTTCTTTATGTAAAATAATGATGCATCTTGCAAGTAAAGTTCTCTAAATTTAACTAACGTCATAAAAGTCAGTTTAAGCATTTTTAAAGTCTGCATTTCCAAAATATTCTGTCTGAAACTTATAACAAGTTTGTTTTCTACATGATTGGCCTGAGCTGGAGACAGCTCAGGAGGCTGAAAGCTTGCTTTGGGAGCATGAAGTGTGGGCTTGATCCCTGGTGTGGTTCTCTATGCATTGCCAGAGTGACCCCAAGCACGAGTCAGGAATATCCCCCTGCACCACAGGGTGTGGCTCCCAAATCACCAAAATTTAAAGAAAAAAAAAAAGCATATGCCGCGTCTCTATGGGTAAATGTTAAGGAATGCATGGTGGATCATATAGTAAAGATACATTTAGCTTTGCAAATAACTACCAAATTATTTTCCAAAGTGATTTAAAACTCCATTTATTACAAAAAATATTCTGTATTTTCCATCACTGATCAACTACTTTGTCAAGTAGAAAAAGATTATGTTCCTTGTTGAAAGTCAATAATGTAAAAAGCCACATTTTTTGTTTTTTTTGTTTTTTTTGTTTTTTATCATTTTTTTTATTAGTGAAACACCATGAAGTACACTTATAGACTTATAAATTTTTGTGCTTGGGTTTCAGTTATACAATGATCAAGTACCCATCCCTCCACCAGTGCCCATCCTCCCCCACCACGGGTCCTAGCATCCCTCCCACCCCCCATCCCCCCCCCCTCCCGTCCCACCCTGCCGCTGTGGCAGGGCATTCCCCCCTGTTCTCTCTCTCTTCTTTTGGGTACTGTGTTTTGCCAGAGAGGCATTGAGTGGCAATCATGTTTGGTCTATGGACTACTTTTAGCATGTCTCTCCCACCCTGGGAGGGTCCTCACAACACCCTTTATTTGGTGCTCTCTTCTCTATCTGAGCTTCCTTTTCACCTAGCACATGTGGCTGGCCTTCAAGTCATGGAGCAAAATTCCTGGTACTAATCTGAGCCCTTCCTGGGTGTTAGTCTCCCGTTTTGTTGCTTTATGTTCCCCAGATGAATGCAATCTTTCTGTGTCTATCCCGCTCTTTCTGACTGATTTTGCTTAACATGATACTTTCCATGTAGTACCACTTGTATGTAAATTTCATAACTTCATCTTTTCTAACAGCTACATAGTACTCCATTGTGTAGATGTACCAAAGTTTCTTTAACCAGTCATCTGTTCTTGGGCATTCAGGTTTCTTCCAGTTTCTGGCTATTGTAAAGAGTGCTGCAATGAACAAACAAGTGCAGATGTCACTTCAACTATACATTTTTGCCTCTCTGGGATATATTCCCAGGAGTGGTATTGCTGGGTCAAATGGGAGATCGAATTCTAATTTTTTGAGAATCGTCCATACTGTTTTCCAAAAGGGTTGGACCAGCCTGCATTCCCACCAGCAGTGAAGGAGGGTCCCTTTCTCGCCACATCCGTGCCAGCACCTGTTGAAAAAGCCACATTTTTTGAAACCACACTTTTTAGTCTGAAGGAATAGTGCTGTAGTTGAGTGCAGTGGTCTTCAACTGCTGACCCATGGGTTGGTGCCAGTTTGCAGATGTTAAAAGGTTAAAGTATGATTTAGAGTACTTGCTCTTCAAGCATATGGGAATGAGTTCAAATTCCAATGTCCCATGTGCATAGAGCATTAACCTCAGCTGCTTTGCTATGTGTGCCTGGTTCTACAGTCTGTGATCCTTAGAACCACAAACAATTGTAATTTTCAATTACAATGCAGCCAGCATGTGCACACACTACAAAAAAGGGAGGTGACCCCCCTCCCACACACACACACACATACACCCAGTGAGCACCAGAAGTAAAAAAAAAAAAATGTTCAGTTGCCACAGGCAGAAGTGCAACCCTTGGTAGATGCATGTGTTAGCACTGCAGCCAAGACTTGGGTTCCTCAACTACTTTTGCAAGCACTATAACCAAAGCAGTGTAAGCCTCTGTGAGCACCATGACCAAGAGTGTCAGCAGCACATCTAGTGTGGGACCTGCCACCAGCCCTCCCACAGCTGAATGTGGGAGCACCATAGCCAGGAATCACATCATCATCATCATCACCACAACAATGAAAAAAGTGTTAAGAAATTAAATTGTTTTAAAAGTCAAATAAAACCCTTCTTTTCTCAAAAACAAACACTGGTATTTGTACTTGTAAATTTCTTAAGGTATTCCCTCACCCTACCCCACCCCCAGTGTCAGTGTCACTTTTTAAAATCTGTTGAAAAATCTCACCAAACTTCCTGAGTTTGGGGAAAGGAGACAATTCAAGTGAAGCTATCTCATTACTGAAAATGTAATCTTTTCAAAGTGCAACACAAACTTTTTTTAAAATTTTTTTTTATTTATTTTTTTTATTTATTTATTTTTTACAGTTGTAGATTTACAATTTTTTGTGCTTGGGTTTCAATTATACAATGATCAGATACCCATCCCTCCACCAGTGCCCATTTTCCACCACCATGGATAATATCCCTCCCACCCCCATCCCCCCATCCCCCCCTGCCTCTGTGGCAGGGCAATCCCCTGGCAACACAAACTTTTAAATACAGGTATGTGGGGCACACTGTAACTGTAAGTACCATTTTGCTAACAGTGAGATTGCTTTGTTTCTCTACAATAATTTGTCTACCTGTACTCTACCAACCTTCTGTTCTTATCTTTTTCAAGACTTGGGGCTTGAATCATTGCTGTTTCATTTCACTTCTAGCTTGATGTCTACTATTGTTATTTTATTTGCTTTTGGGTTTGGGTAAGCAGAAAATGTGTTCCAACCACTTGGTTTGAACCAGACACTTTGAATTCTTTTCTTATTAAGTTTTCCCGAACTAAAATATCTACAGCTTTAAATGATAGGGCTGGAGCGATAGCACAGCGGTAGGGCGTTCGCCTTACAAGCGGCCAACATGGCCGACCCGAGTTCGATTCCTCCGCCCCTCTCGGAGAGCCCGGCCAGCTACCGAGAGTATTCGATATGCCAGACACAGTAACAACAAAGTCTCCAATGGAGACGTTACTGGGCCCGCTCGAGCAAATCGACGATCAACGGGAGGGCCTTTACCTTTACCTTAAATGATAGCCAAACTTGGGTTTTATTTGCCTCTCAAAATATTGCTGCTTAAAATGTATGAATTC